GTTGTTATTGGCCTATTCAGGTTTTCTGATTCCTCCTGATTCAGTTTTTGGAGATTGTATTTTTCTAGAAATTTGTCCATTTCATCCACATTGTCCAGCTTGTTGGCATATAGTTGTTCATAGTATTTTCTTACAGTTCTTTGTATTTCTGTGGTGTCAGTGGTTACTTCTCCACTTTTGTTTCTGATTTCATTTTTTGGATCCTCTCTGTTTCTTGATGAGTTTGGCTAAGGTTTCATCAATTTTATTTATCCTTTCAAAGAATCAGCTCTTGGTTTCATTGATTTTTTTGTATTTTTTTTTTTTTTAGTCTGTGTTACTTATTTCTGCTCTAATTTTTGGGTTCTTCTTCCTTGTGGTCTCTGTGCCTCCTGAACTTGTGTGACATTTTCCTTTGCCAGGTTAGGGGAGTTTTCTACCATTATTTCTTCAAACACGTTCTCTATCCCCTTCTCCCTTTCTGCCTCTTCTGGCACACCTGCTCTTCTAATATTATGTTTCATGTTATCCCACAGCTCCCTTAAACTGTCCTCCTGTTTTTTAATTGTTTTTTATTTTTGTTTCTCTGATTGACTTTTTTAACCCTGTCTTCTAAATCACTGATTCGATCCTCAGCTCCCCCTAATCTGCTGTGTGTTCTTTATTTGTGCTATGTCATTCTTTATATTTGACTGTTCTTTTTTCATAGTTACTATATCTTTACTTATACTGTTGAGCATCTTTACCATCATTACTCTGAACTCTGTTTCAGATAAATTTCTATCTCTGCTTTATTTATCCCTTCTTCTAGAGAATTCTCTTGTTCTTTTATTTGGGGGTTGTTTCTTTGTCTCCTCACTTTGGCTGTCTGTTTGGGTTTGTGACTATGTATTAGGTAGACCCTCTATGCCTCTCAATCTCTAGTGCAGGACAGCATAAAACTGTTTCTGATTAATTAGATTAAGCAAAGACTCAAATCCTCCAGGGACCGCCTCTGCAGACTGATAGGATTCTAACTTGAATTGCCCCAAGGCTATCATCCTCAGGTATGGGGAGAGGTTTTTTCCAACAAGTTGGGGCAGTTGCTTCTGCCTGGAGGCTAATTATTACTTTTAGTCTCTTAAGTGGACTCAAGGCAAGGTGTTTTCCAATAGTGTGGGTCAACTGCCTTCCCCCCAAGCAAAGCAAATGTCTGTGTGGGGAAAATGTCCTCCGCTGCGTGAGGGAATGACTCAGCACAGGAAACCAGGAGTGTCTGCCTTCTGAGCTCTAACCCCTGAGTCCCGAATCCTGGCTTCTGCTCACACAGCTCCACTCCACTCTGCCCTCCCTCTGCTGGAGCACAAGGTGAGTGGCTCCACAGGGAATTTTGTGCATTGGCCCTTTAAGAGGATGCCTGAATTTTCCAGCCATTATTCCCTGGCAGATAGCACCCCTGCTGCTTTTCATAGCCAAATGTTATGTGGGTACTCTTCTCAGTTGTGGTGCTCTCTGCAGGGGAGCCCAGCTTGGGGATTAGATACCAAAATTCTCAGGGGCATCCCCCTCCACAGCTGAGATATCTCTCCAAAACTTCAGCTGCTGTGTGTTGGTGCCCAGACAGCCCTTTTGAGCCTCCACCCCTCCTACCAGTCTCTATACGGTCTCCACTTTCAGTCCTTGGGTATCAGGGTTCACTCCTGTGAGTCTTCCATTGACTATTCAGGAAGTTTTTCTGTATTTTAGTTATAATTCCAGTTTGTTCCTGGGAGTGTGCCTGTGCATCATCCACTTACTCTCCATATTTTCATTTTAAATTTGAACTTAGGCATATTGTCATTTAAAGGTATAAATCATTTAAATGTTTAATATTAAATGCAGAAAATTCAGGAATATTTTATTTAACCTCTATTAGCCTTGTTTTATTGAAATGCAAAATACTTTCCCTAATGAAAATATCAGTTGGATAATACACATTTTTATGTGACAATATAGATTTATCTGACTTCTTTGAAAAAGCAGTGGTAAGATTTATAACTTCTTGAGTTCTGTTAAAAACTTTATGTAGCCGAAACCAGTTTGGCTCAGTGGATAGAGCGTCGGCCTGCGGACTGAAGGGTCCCAGGTTCGATTCCGGTCAAGGGCATGTACCTGGGTTGCGGGCACATCTCCAGTGGGAGATGTGCAGGAGGCAGCTGGTCGATGTTTCTCTCTCATCGATGTTTCTAACTCTCTATCTCTCTCCCTTCCTCTCTGTAAAAAATCAATAAAAATATATTTAAAAAAAAAACTTTATGTAATTCTCATCTTACTGAAGGAATATGTGAATTTCATGAGATCACCAAATTAAGGAAATATCAATCAAGTGAAGTTTTGCCTTTGCCAGACACATTCACATCATATTAATGAAATTCAAAATACAGTTTATTGATTTTAACTTAATTTTTTAGCTCAGCATTATACTGTTATTGGGCCTGAAAGAGAAAATAAGCATATACTTGTGTATACTCATGGCAGCATGTGTTTTATATGAGAATATCTTGTAGTTGTTATTTTTATATTTTATTTTTAATATCAGTATTTTTCATCTACTGAGCCAACACAAACATACAAAATTGTTTTAATGCTGTCAATCTTTTTTTGATAATTACAAAATAAATGAGTAATTCCTAACTTAAATAATGATGCCACAAATATAGTTTGAATGTATGTTGTCTATATTTCTTTTATACACCACACTCCAGTAAGGTACTTTAAAATATATATTTTTTAAAAATACTATAAGTGCTAATCACTCAGGATTGCTTTTAATCATCTTTCTCCAAAATTTTCATTTAATATAAAGAATGTATTTAATTTGGGGATTTAAAAAGCCTCTGTTCATTCATTGTTTCTTTTAATATATTTATTAGATGACATGATACAATATATGATATGATATAATACTAGAGGCCCGATGCATGAAATTCGTGCCTGGGTAGGGTCCCTAGGCCTGGCCAGTGATCAGGGCCAATCGGGGCCTTCCTTCCTCTGGTCGCCAGTTGCCCGCCGGGGCCTTCCTTGGTTCTGTGCCGTCCCCTGGTGGTCAGCGCATGTTACAGTGAGCGGTTGAACTCCCAGTGGGTCAAATTCCCCAGGGGACAATTTGCATATTAACCTTTTAGGATACTGCACATGGGATGAAGTGGGAAACAAAAGTTGGACTTTGAAAATAATGAAGCTCCAAGAGAGTACAGTACCTGACATTTTATTGGTACTTTATCATTTTCAAATTTGTTCCAACAAATATCCTAAGAATATGGGTAGCTCTCTGTGCAAATGGCTAATAGAATTTCTTAAATTATTAATATCAAGTAGGTTATAGGTATGGTAAATAATAATTGGTCATTTTGACTCTCTAGTTCTCTAACAAAGTAAGAAAATTATCTCACCAATTTTCTTGAATGGCGAGGATATATATTTTTGCAATGGCATTTAAATATTACATCTTCTTGGATAATAAATGTATCTAAGAGGAATGAAATCCTATAGGGATCTATTTACTGTTTTATTGTGAGTCATAAATTTATACTGTATAGTGCAACAGAGTCGTCGAAAGTTATGTAGTTGTCTTTTCTTTTTTAATAGTTTTTAGAACAAAAACTATTAAATTTTTTAATTTCTTAATTGCTGCATTTGTATCAATTTTATAATACAATTTTATAATACAACAAAGGCAATGTTGAGAATAGATATGTAAAGTTTAAAAAAATCATCACTGGTCAAGGAATAAGGGAAAAGCTATATGGTAGGCTGAATAATGGTCCTTTAAAGATGCCCTTGTCTTGCCCTAGCCTATTTGGTCAATGGATAGAGCATTGGCCTGCTGACTGAAGGGTCCCGGGTTCGATTCCGGCTAAGGGCACATACCTAGGTTGCATAGGTTGCAAGCTCCTCTCTGGTCAGGGCCCTGGTCAGGGCTCATTCAGGTGGCAACCAATTGATGTGTTTGTCCCGCATTGGTGCTTCTCTCTGTCTTTCCCCTGTCTGAAAATCAATTAAAAAAAAAAATCCTTGGGTGAAGATTAAAAAAAAAAAAAAAAAGATGTCCTTGTCTTAATCCTAAAATCCTGTGAATATGTTACTTTACAAGGCAAAAAGGAACTTTCAGATGTAATTAAAATAAGCATCTTGAGATGGAGAGATTATCCTAGTGGGCACAGTATAATCAGAAGGTTCTTATAGGAGGAAGGCGGGGGTTAGATTGAAAGATTAGAAGATGCTGCACTGCTGGCTTTGAAGTTGAAAATAGTCAAGGGATGAGAATAGCCTCCATAACATAGAAAAGGCAAAAAAATGGATTCTCCTGTAGAGCTTCCAGAAGGAACACAGCCCTCCCAACACCTTGATTATAGAACTTTTGATCTCTAAAAATAATTTTTTTGTTAATCCTCACCCGATATTCTTCCATTGATTTTTATTTATTATTATTATTATTATTATTATTATTTATTTCCCCACCCTCTCCCCCCTCCTCCCAGCCCATATGCACTCCCAGGTCTTCACTATCCTATTGTCCATGTTCATGGGCTATGCATATAAGTATATAAGTTCTTTGATTTATCTCATCTCATCCCCCCAACCTTTCTTCCATTGATTTTTAGAGAGAGTGGAAGGGACGGGCAGGGACAGAGAGAGAGAAACATCGATGTGAGAGAGACACATATATTAGTTGCCTCCTGCGCATGCCCCAACCAGGGCCAGGGATCCAGCCTGCAAACGAGGTATATGCCTTTGACCAGAATTGAACCTGGGACCCTTCAGTCCTTGGGCCAATTCTCTATCCAAACCAGCTAGGGCAGATCTCTACAAATTTAAGAGATTTGTGTTGTTTAAGCCAGTAAGTGTTTGTTAGGGACTAATACAGGCTACAGTTTATGTTTCAGTGAATTTTTTCCATAAGGAAATATCACAACGATTGCAAAGGTCCTAGAAAACAAAAGGGAAACCCCCAAACCAAGCAAGTTTTTAAAAAGAAAAAGAAAAATCTCATTTATTTGCAGATATGATCTCTAAATTAGAGTTACCTATGGGAATTCATGAAGATTTACACTTCAAAACTCCATCATCTAAAAATAATTATGAAAAATCAAAAACATCACTAGATACTGAAGGGCCTACTTGGGAGGAAATAGACACCTTTGTGGAAAGTACCCTGCCAGTCAGTCAGATGTTTCCAGCCGATTACTCTTTGTCTTCTCAACTTGACGTTGTTCAAAAAGGTAAGAAACAAGTTATTTGGTTTTTTTTTTTAAATGCAGCAATTAAGAAATTAGATTTAAAAGTTACATCACATAGAAAAAAAGTTACATCATATAAAGTGTTTTTTATTTATTTATTTTATAAATCCACAGAAGATGCTTCCGAGGGTCACATTCTGAAATTTTTATTTCAATTCATGAATTTGGCATTTTCACCAATTGCAATTCTTACAGAAAGGGTAAGTTGACCTTTTAAATCTTTTGCAATAATTTTACCAGTTTTGCTAAATATAGGAGCAGCTGAAATTAGGTTTCCCTATGTAAACGCTATATAATATTTCTCTTTCCATAAAGTGTTACAGGTAGGATTTATCCTTACATGAATGTTATGTTGCATGGATATTGTTCAGGATTTCTTTTTCTTTTCTTTTTTTGAGGGGGGTTGATGAGGGTTGTGTGTTATTTATTTTTAAATTGAACTCATTGTGGTGACATTGATTAATAAAATTTTATAGGTTTCAGGTGTACAATTTTATAATACATCATCTATATGTTATATTGTGTGTTCACCACCCCAAGTCAAATCTCCTTCCATTACCTTTACCCCGTTACCCTTGATTACCTTCCCCCACCTTCCTCCCTCTGGTAATCACTATACTGATGTCTGTGTTTATGAGATTTTAATTTTTTTGCTTAATCCCTTCATTATTTTTTATCCAAACCTCCAACCTCCCTCCCCTCTGAGAGCTATCAATTTGTTCTCTGTATCTATGAGTCTGTTTCTATTTTGTTTGTTAGTTTATTTTGTTCATTAGATTCCACATATGTATTCAGAAATGGGTGGCATTTTCATACATTAACAATGAACTATCAGAAAGAGAAACTAAGAAAGCAATCTCATTTACTATCTTTTTAAAAAATATTTTAAAATTGATTTTTAGAGAGAGAGGAAGGGAGAGGGAGAGAAACATCAATGTGAGAGCAAGACATCAATTGGCTGCCTCCTTCAGGCTCCCTACTGGGGGACTGAACCCACAACCCAGGCACCGGAAATGAAACTGGCAACCTTTCAGTGCATGGAAGGGACAAAGCTCAACCAACTGAGCCACACTGGACAGGACCCCATTTGCTATTGCAACAACAAAAATATAAGGTACCTAGAGATAAATGTAACCAAGGAAGTAAAACATGTACTTGGAAAACTATAGGACAGCGGTTCTCAACCTGTGGGTCGCGACCCCTTTGGGGGTCGAACGACCCTTTCACAGCGGTCGCCTAAGACCATCAGAAAACACATATATAATTACATATTGTTTTTGTGATTAATCACTATGCTTTAATTATGTAACAATGAAAATACATCCTGCATATCAGATATTTACATTACAATTCATAACAGTAGCAAAATTACAGTTATGAAATAGCAACAAAAATAATTTTATGGTTGGGGGTCACCACAACATGAGGAACTGTATTAAAGGGTCGCGGCATTAAGAAGGTTGAGAACCACTGCTATAAGACATTGAAGAAAGAAATCGAGAAAGATACAAATAAGTGGAAGCATTAACAGTGTTCATGGATTGGAAGAATTAACATCATTAAAATGCCCATACTACCCAGAGCAATCTATAGAGTCAATGCAATTCCTATTAAAATACCAATGGCATATTTTATAGATCTAGAAAAAAATATATTCTAAAAATTTATATGGAAGTAAATATGACCCCGGATAGCCACAGCAATCTTTAGAAAGAAGAACAAAGTTGGAGGTAACACAATACTGGATATCAAACTATACTCCAAGTCCACTGTAATCAAAACAGATTGGTAGTAGACTTAGAAAAGGCATATAGATCAATAGAACAGAACAGAGAGCCCAGAAATCAACCTACCTACAGGGTTTCCCCCCAAAATGTGTACACACTATAACAACTGATAGCTCAAATTTGAAAATGAAATGTATCATATTAAACACTGCCTTTATAATTATTCAAAGTGTATGTATACATTTTTTGGGGACACCCTATATTTATGGTCAATTATTATTTGATAAAGGAGGCAAGAGCATACAGTGGAGTAAAGACAGTCTCTTCAATAAATGGTGTTGGGAAAATTGGACAGGTACATGCAAAAAAATAAAACTAGACCACCAATTTATACCATACACTAGAATAAACTCAAAATGGATAAAAGACTTAAATGTAAATCATGAAACCATAAAAATCCTAGAAGAAAACAAAGGTAGTAAAATCTCAGACATCTCTTGCAGCAATATTTTTATAAATATGTCTCCTAGGGCAAGGGAACTCAGGAAAAGATAGACAAATGGGATTACATCAAGCTTCTGCCCAGCAAAAGAAATTATCAACAAAACGAAGAGAACCCACTGTATGGGAGAACATATTCACCAATGATACATCCGATATTTCTAAAATATATAAAGAACTTATACAACCCAATGCCAGGAAAGAAACTATACTGTTAAAAAAATGGGCAAAGGACTTGAGTAGACACTTCTTCAAAGAGGACATACAGATGGCCAATAGACACGAAAAAATGCTCAAGGTCACTAATCATCAGAGAGATGCAAATTAAAAGTACAATGAGGTACCACAAACAACAAGTGCTGGCATGAATGTGGAGAAAAGGGAACCCTAGAACACTGTTGGTGGGAATACAGACTGAGGCAGCCACTGTGGAAAACAGTATGAAGTTTCCTCAGAAAATTAAAAACGGAACTGCCTTTTGCAGTCCCACTTCTGGGAATATATATCCGAAGAATCCAAAACACCCATCAGAAAGAATATCTGTACCCCTGTGTTCATAGCAGCATTATTTACAATAGCCAATGCCTGGAAACAGCCCAAGTGCCCCTCAATAGATGAGTGGATAAAAAAAGATGATACATTTACACAATGGAATACTTTGCAGCTGTAAAAAAGAAGGATCTCTTACTCTTTGAGACAGCCTGGAGAGACCTGGAGAGTATTAGGCTAAGTGAAATAAGCCAGTCAGAGAAAGACAAATACCACAAGATCTAACTTATATGTGGAATCTAATGAACAAAATAAACTAGCAAATAAAATAGAACCAGAGGCATTGATACATGGAACAGACTGAAAGGGGAGGGACTGGATGAAAGAATGTGAAGTAATTAGCCACATATATGCATAACCCATAGACACAGATAATAGTGTGGTGATGGCCAGAGGGAAGGCGGGAGAGGGTGGGATGGAGTTGGGCAAAGGTGGGGAGAGGAGAGGAAAGGGGACATCTGTAATAGTGTCAACAATAAAAATAAAGTTAAAAAAAAAAGGAAGAAAAGAAAGAATCAATCTCAGATATGGTCAGAGATGCAAAAATCCTAAATAAATATTAGCAAGAAATTTTTAAAAAGTACAGAAGTTGGAGAGATCATGGCATATTTGGAGAACTAAAAGCAATTCATTGTGATTGAATATATGCTGAGAATGAAGATGTGTATATATATAGGGATTAAATCAAGAATGTTTTGTGTTCCCCTGGCTGGGTTTCTCAGTGGTTAGAGTGTCGTTGGCTATTTGGTTGTAGGGTCCCTAGCCCCTGTAGAGACAACCAGTTGATGTGTCTCTCTCACGTTGATGTTTCTCTCCCTCTATCCCTCTTCTACTCTTCCCTCCCTTCTACTCTCTCTGGAAATCAATAGAAAAAATATCCTCAGGTGAGGATTAAAAAAAGTGTTTTGCTTGTTTTGATAGGAAGTTGAACTCTTTCTTGTAGATAACAGGGCACTATTGAAGGATTTAAGTGGGGAGTAAAATGAAAAAGTTTCATTTATAAAGTCTATTTATAGTCAGATTGTCAAATAAGAATTGAATGGGTTAAAACCAGAGGCAGGGAATCCAGTCAAGAAGTTGGTGCATTAGTTCAGGAATTAAATAGTGAAGATCTAAATCAGGATTTACAAACTCATGAAAGGAATGATGCACTGGAAAATGTGAGAAGCGTAACCAACTGGAGAGTGTATGCCTTCTCCTAAGCATGTGGTTGCTACTTACCTGGGTTTTGGTATGAAATTTCCCAATTTTTAATACTGCCAAATATTCAGAATAAAAAAAATACCATGATGGTGAGACAATACCTTTTGTAAGTTGGGTTTGGCCCACTAGCCACATTTTTTATTTATTATTATTATTTTTATTGATTTCATAGAGGAAGGGAGAGGCAGTGAGAGATAGAAACATCAATGATGAGAGAGAATCACTGATGGTATGCCTCCTGCACTCCCCACACTGGGGATCTAGCTCACTCCTGGGCTTATGCCGTGACCAGGAATTGAACTGTGACCTCCTGGTTCATAGGTCGACGCTCAATCACTGAGCCATGCTGGCCGGCTCTAGCCATCTTGTTAAATCTTTGCCCTAATATCTGATGGTGATTATTTAAATGATTGGAAGGACAGATAGATCTTTTATAGATATAATTTATTGGTTTTAATGATTGACGGAATGTAGTCAGGAGAAGAAAATGGAAAAGAGATAACTTAGTGAGGATGACCAGGTAGATGGTAGGTAGTGCCACTGCCTGTGATAAGAGTCTTTGTGAAAACTGGGCTTAATGTCATATGTAGTTTTGCTTTCGGAGGCTTTCTCCACACTTTATTTCTGTGCCAGCTTCCAGAGAGTTGAATAAGCAGAGAAATGATGAATTGACTCTGTATGATTTGGTCATGAAGTTGTTGATCAAAAACTTTACTTAGAAAACTACTTCAGCAGAGGAGAACTGACATATCCCTCACCTGTTACCCCCCTTCCTCACAAATACTACCAGTGAAGTTTCTAAATTCATGAAATAATTTATTAATCAGTACACGATATTCATATAAAGTGCTAATTTATAAAGGCTATGCTAAATATGCTTATTTTTGTAGATTCAGTAAACATAGTCAAACACATTTTTTTAAAAAATATATTTTATTGATTTTTCACAGAGAGGAAAGGAGAGGGACAGAGAGTTAGAAACATCGATGAGAGAGAAACATCGATCAGCTGCCTCCTGCACACCCCCCACCGGGGATGCACCCGCAACCAAGGCACACGCCCCTGACCGGAACCGAACCTGGGACCCTTCAGTCCGCAGGCCGACGCTCCATCCACCGAGCCAAACCGGTCAGGGCAAACACATTTTACTTGAATTATTTTGGTTGAAATTCTTTAGACATGAAAATATTGAATTTAAATTTATGTTAATTATCTTGTGA